AATATATTCACGCAAATTGACCCATGTCTGACCTCTAGTCTAGGCAAGATATGTAATGGGCCACGTTCTGCAGAACTTCCAAGTGCTGAGTTTAAGTTCCACGATTGAAAAAAAAAATAAAATAACATACAGCTCCATTCTATATCAGGCCATTGTTGTTAATATTGTATTCAGTTTAAAATGACAGCACTCCCAACTGAACACGCCGTATTATGTAATTGTACAGAATATTTCATTGTTGACCGTACCACTGACCAAATGTATGGGCAGTCAAACAATTCACAATCGTATCATATAAATTATGCCATTGTGCTTGTTGTAAATATTATATAGCCGGTCCAACTGGCATTGTAGCGGTGTGTATGATATACATTTTGCCGTTGTGTTAAAAATATTTCTTTCATTAGTGATAAGCACCTTGGCCACCGAGGGTCCCCGCCAACACAGGTACTTAACAGGGGTAAACCGGCGCTCATTTTTCATTATTATAGTCTCATTGTTCGCATGTTCCCACCTTTCCAAAGACAAAAAACGACTGACTTTTCACAAGTCCCTGAAGAGGAGTGCCACTTTTATCAACGAGTGACATGTTGCTACATTCATTGTGATGTTTTCAATGTCTAGCGCGTCTAGATTTAATATATTTACGCAATTTCACCCATGTCTGACCTCTAGTCTAGGCAAGATACGTAATGGGCCACGTTCTGCAGAACTTCCAAGTGCTGAGTTTAAGTTCCACGATTGAAAAAAAAAATAAAATAACATACAGCTCCATTCTATATCAGGCCATTGTTGTTAATATTGTATTCAGTTTAAAATGACAGCACTCCCAACTGAACACGCCGTATTATGTAATTGTACAGAATATTTCGTTGTTGACCGTACCACTGACCAAATGTATGGGCAGTCAAACAATTCACAATCGTATCATATAAATTATGCCATTGTGCTTGTTGTAAATATTATATAGTCGGTCCAACTGGCATTGTAGCGGTGTGTATGATATACATTTTGCCGTTGTGTTAAAAATATTTCTTTCATTAGTGATAAGCTCCTTGGCCACCGAGGGTCCCCGCCAACACAGGTACTTAACCGGGGTA